CAAAAGACATAAATCCATAAATAGGAGTTTGTTAAGAACTCAGGATTAAGATCATTCTATATATGACCATCGGTAGACTCAATTAGAATTTCTATGCTTAACGGAAATTATTAAAAATTCATATTGTGTCTGTGTCCCTGTTCCATACAATCTCATTATGCGAAATACACTCATTCAATATCTTACCATATTAACAGTGCGGATAGCACCGTTCCATTTTAAATGGGAATGACATGTATTAATAATATTTTAATTAAAGATTCTGAACTTTAATTAAATTCATTATGAACAACGTTTTTTATTATTATCCTTAAACATTATCCTCTCGTATATAACACTTATATACAATATTTAAGGTTACATAAATAATCACGAAATTTTCATTTGATATTTATAAAATATTCATAAATATATGCACATAAAATGATGAATAAACTATTTTATTAATTAAATAATAAATATCTTATTACATCTCATACTTCTAGGACACCATTCCCAACACATTTTGCATCTGTTGACTGCAACGACATGTCGTCTTCAATATTATGTATTGGCGTAAAGACAAACGACACGTAGTTCATCTTTTTAAAAGGTAATATTTCATTTTTTGTGTATGCTGCAGAATTGACAAATTTTAGTTAAAAAAACTTGAAACACTAAGGGCTGTTCGGCAGTTGAGTTTTTGAGTCAAAAACTAAAAAAAACAACAACTCGAGTTACAACTTTATTCAAGTTCATGTTCTTTTATGTTTAAACTCGAGTTTGGGACTAAAACTCGAGTTCAAGTTTCTCCTTCAACTCGAGTTCAGACACTCGAACTCAAATTAATGAACAGTATTTTTTCTATTCTTAAAAATGCTATAACTTATTCGTTTTAATTCTGATTGAGATGATTTTTTTCTATGCGTTGACAACGAAAAGACGAATAAAACCTCGCCCATATACCCTATTAAAATTTTTCATCAGCATTGAGTTTTTATTAAAATACTATCTAAATACAAATTCAAGTTTTGACTCACTCAAACACAAACTCAAAAAGATTCTTATCTCAAACCACCACTCAAATGTACACAACCAAACACAAACTCAAGTTACAACTTCAACTTAAGTTATAACTCAAACTCACCTCAAAATCTACACTCAAATCACCTATCTACTACTACTACGTTCGGCAGTTGAGTTTTTGAGTCAAAAACAAAAAAAAAAACAACTCGAGTTACAACTTTATTCAAGTTCATGTTCTTTTATGTTTAAACTCGAGTTTGGGACTAAAACTCGAGTTCAAGTTTCTCCTTCAACTCGAGTTCAGACACTCGAACTCAAATTAATGAACAGTATTTTTTCTATTCTTAAAAATGCTATAACTTATTCGTTTTAATTCTGATTGAGATGATTTTTTTCTATGCGTTGACAACGAAAAGACGAATAAAACCTCGCCCATATACCCTATTAAAATTTTTCATCAGCATTGAGTTTTTATTAAAATACTATCTAAATACAAATTCAAGTTTTGACTCACTCAAACACAAACTCAAAAAGATTCTTATCTCAAACCACCACTCAAATGTACACAACCAAACACAAACTCAAGTTACAACTTCAACTTAAGTTATAACTCAAACTCACCTCAAAATCTACACTCAAATCACCTATCTACTACTACTACGTTCGGCAGTTGAGTTTTTGAGTCAAAAACAAAAAAAAAAACAACTCGAGTTACAACTTTATTCAAGTTCATGTTCTTTTATGTTTAAACTCGAGTTTGGGACTAAAACTCGAGTTCAAGTTTCTCCTTCAACTCGAGTTCAGACACTCGAACTCAAATTAATGAACAGTATTTTTTCTATTCTTAAAAATGCTATAACTTATTCGTTTTAATTCTGATTGAGATGATTTTTTTCTATGCGTTGACAACGAAAAGACGAATAAAACCTCGCCCATATACCCTATTAAAATTTTTCATCAGCATTGAGTTTTTATTAAAATACTATCTAAATACAAATTCAAGTTTTGACTCACTCAAACACAAACTCAAAAAGATTCTTATCTCAAACCACCACTCAAATGTACACAACCAAACACAAACTCAAGTTACAACTTCAACTCAAGTTATAACTCAAACTCAACTCAAAATCTACACTCAAATCACCTACTACAACTACTACTACTACTACTTACCAAGAAGAATAAGATCTTTTTCCTCTTCAATTAAAAACAAATTGAAAATATTATAGTTCTTTTTCTAAAGATTTCGAGACTCTATTTGTTAGTTGGTAACTTGGTACACAACATTTGGTACACGAATTTGATGTCCTAAATATTAGAGTATCTGTTCGATCAATTTTAAGCTGCCTCTACACTAACGAAAGCACATAAAGAGTGAAAAACAAGCAAATATAATTTCCAAGTTTAGGGTTTCCAAGGATTATGTACACATTAAATATAACTTGTGATTAATATTGCACGTGTGATGAAGAATATTTTTAACATGTAGCCTTGATACAAATCATTTTCTTATCCTAAAATCACAGCCTGACAGAATCGGCGGATTAGAGAACAACCTACCGGAAGTATATTGATATTAGTGGGATGTCAATATCATTGTCATCGTCGTCCTCACACGTCACAACAACATCCAAATGCTGACGGTTAGGAGGCAACTCCACTTTGGCCACTTCCCTAGCCAAATCCACCACCTTCTTGTCCATCTGCTCCTCGTGTCGCGAGAACATACTATTGTAAAGCAGGCTACTTCCACAAGAAACGCTGTAAGCATTTAGCCCTTTGTTTCTCAGCCATTCTAGAAGTTCCCTGCGGGTAGGATTGTCTTTCAAGATCCACCTATCCCAAACCGTCCACTTCATGTCACGGTGCTTGATGACCTTCGGCGCAACAGGCTCAGCCATTGAGAACAAAGGTAGTGCTAGATTGGCGAACGTGTTACGGTAGTCCTTGAGTTTGTGACCTCCGTCCAGAACCTTGTAAAGCTCCAAGCACACGAGACCTGTGGTCATAGCGGTGGAGGTTGCAATCGCAGGGATGATCCTTCCAGCAATGAACTTGGCCTTCAGTTTGTCAACCTCGGGAATGCTGTAATTCCTAGCTCTCATGTTGGCAAGACCAGCTATTAGGTCCATATGGTAGTTGGCATCATCATCCTACATGGCATTTACAGTCGGAGCCACTAGTCAGTAAGAATCATGCAGATCATTCTAATGTTACAAGGCAAAAATCATCCCCTAAGAGGAAGTGTCAATACTACCAAGACTTGTAATCCTACATCTAGGGTAAGTGCTAAGAGACGCATAAAAGTAGATTTTCTAAGCAACACTTCACCAAATCCATAGATATTAAACTACACAACCTAGAACAACGGATCAGTGACGTGAATTCAATAAGCTTAAACTACGAATAATTTAGGCTGCATCTCTTGGTGGTCAGTAGATCCAGAAAAAAAAATACACACACACACACGTGGGGTTTCTGTGTGTGTGTGTGTGTGTGTGTGTGTGTGTGAGAGAGAGAGAGAGAGAGAGAGAGTGAGACCTTCTCAAATTGAATTGGTTTCATCTTGAACCCCGGTGCCAAGCTTGTTCGACGATGCTCTAACTTCATAATCAAATCATCAATGATCTGTGCATCGTCAACAGATGCAGCAGTATTGACATTAGTAGCTCTTTCATCGGTCTCAATTTTGACTCCTTCCGTGGGTTGAAACTCAGGAAGTGTTACTCTATCTACCGCTTCAGCTAACTTCTTAGGGTTTTTAACCCAGTCAGGAATTGGAATTCCAAATGTCTCAGCTCTTAGAATTGATGCTGCCATAACAAAATGAAGGTGAGCAGGATCAATCGATGATAACTGCAGGGGATGCGGGAATCGCTTTGGCGCTGACCAGAATGGAGCTCCAGTACTAGTTGACGCAGCTTCAGGAAAAGTATAAATTAGCTGCTTCACACGGTTACAGAAATAATCATCGAACCTGAGAAAAAAGCACGACATCAGGACAGGTTAAGAAAACATTGATAATAAAATTTAAAATCCACAGAAATCTAAATAGATATATATGATTCATCATCAAGGGAATTACTTTAGGCGAGCCCAGGCAACACAATCTTCGAAAGTCTCACATCTTTCTTTGTCAAGGCACTCAAGGACGCGTTCCAAGGTATCCTTGGCATGTGCATCAGCAGCATTTCTCATTGCGGCAGCATATTCACTTGGGTTGGATAAGTACGCATTCACCTCAGTGGGCGTCTTCTCAAGCAAACCCTCAAATTCAGACCTGGCCCAAGTCAAGCAGTGGTCAATATTGTGTGGAAAGGAATGCACAGTGCACATGGGCGCTTGCTTTTCAGGTGGGTCCCTTGAGGCACCATAGTTTTCCGTTAAATGAGGAATAACCATCTGAGTGTTGCATTTGGTGCCAAGAGTTCCCGACTCAAGAAGCGGCTTCTGGAAATATAAGCACCTCTGATCAACATAAAGCCGAGCATTGACATTGTCTAGTGCATTGATCACCACAGTTAAATTCTCCCAGAAGGAATCATCAAATGCATTCTCAGTTTCAGGGCCAACACGATTCTGCAATGCTTCAACATTGAGACGAGGATTTATTGATGCAGCAGCAGAAGCAGCAACAGTGGACTTGGCGTGCCCAATATTCCAATCACGGAATAGGAATTGCCTGCTGAGGTTACTCTTCTCAATTACATCATCATCTGTGACTATTAGCTTCCCTTGGTGGCCACATGAAACCCCCATCAAGGCAACATTTTTTAAGAACTCGCAGCCCAGTGCACCAGATCCAACTATAAACACCTTAGCATCCTCCAGTTTCTTCTGGAGTGTGGACCCAAAAACTGACATCTGTGCATCATATCGGCTATTTAACGGTCTAAAATCACTAGAATGTAATGGCTTCGATGGAAGTGATTCAACTGAATCAAAGTAGAAAAACTGGAGAAAAAGGTCAACAACAGATCATTAGAACCAAAAAGCATGATCAATTAACTTATAAAAATGTAAACTTCTTGACCCAAGAAAAAAACAAACACTTTAAGTATAACAAATTCAACCAAAACCGAGTAAGGAATTTATTAGTCAAAAATTTGCATGGATTTAGAGAGTTCATGGTGACTTCTTGCACAATTATGATTACATGGTTTTGCTTATAGTCGTAGATGTGTATGAGAGAGATCAATGGGTGTAAGTAGTCCTGTCCAGCCACACTAGGTAGAGCAATATCAGCACCATCCACAACAGCTCAATTCTCCACATTACAAGCATAGACTATAACAACTCTTATAGCTAGTAAAAGGTTAAAACAATTTTATAGCTACTAACCTGGAAGATTGGATGAAACTTTCCAGAGCAAGCTTTCAGTATCTCCTGTCCAACAATGCCACCAAACATTGTGGCCATTGGGTTCAGTACAGCCTTGGCACCAAAGGCAAAGTGTCGCAGAAGTATTGTATTAATATCATCAAGCCTCCGATCTCCCAAACTTTCATTGATGTCACTGGCAATAGATATGAGCTTCTGAGCATCCTCTTCCAAGCCCGCAACAGGGAAACGACCCAACTCTGATGTAAACTTATCCAAAGCTTGGAATGCCAAGTGGATGAGGGATGGACGATCAAACTTCGAGAAATCACTCAGAAGAAAATCACCAGGATCATTAAGTGCTACTCTCAATGGCTTAAATTTCAACACTTTGGGCTGTTTCACCTGTGTAACAATACCGCCTTTAATGTACACACCAAAATTGGTAATATCCTCCTCAAGAGTGAATGAATAAGGCCTAGCATTTTTTATCTTTCTTGGCTTTCCATCATTCAGTTCTGTCATCCCCTGAACTTCTGAGAACACAACAAGATCCCCATCCTGGAATTCAAGCCTTTCATCATCGACACAGGACACTGGAGCCGGATTATCATTACTGATTGATGCAATAATACCCGTGTGTGGTTCCTCTCCATCAACATCAACAACAGTAAACTCGGGTCCAAAGTCACAAAAGACATTACCAAAAAGACCTCTAACTTCAGACTTAATGAATGCAATAGGAGGCTGATGATTATGGCAGTAATCATTGAACTCAACAGCTTTTTCAAGACATATATCAGTGAATACAACAGCCTGCAATGCGAGAAAATATGCAAGTAAATCTAAAAGGAAAATTTCTGAAAAACCAACCACAAGCATATGCTTCTCCTCCCATAACAAACATAAGAAACACAACAATCTTATCAACCAGGTAACTATTGAAAATTTAGAATCCAAAGAAAACAGAACAAAGCCATAACCAGAAATATCAAACCTTAATACTTCATGATATAGGGACGCAAAATACCTGGAAACCAGAAAGTTGTTCTTTCGTCAACTTAGTCAAAGTTTTCACAATTACAGCATTGTTGAGCTCTTGCAGCTTTTGGACAGAAGCAAGCGCTCTGTTCTTGCCTACATCGCTCCCCGAAAACACAAAATTGGCCGACAAATCCCACAGCTCCACTTCCCCTTCGTCGTGCAAAGTCACGGACTTGACACCAGCAAGAATCAGATTCTTCGCTGCACCACACAAAACATTAACACCTTTCAGATTAACATCACATGAAAATTCGATAACTAATCCCAAAATGGGTTTAATTAAGTTCAGAACAAACAAATATTTCTTCCTTGATCGTCAATTAATCGAAGAAATTTTCGAATCTGTACCAATCTCAGCGCCCAAACCCTGCATCCCCGAGACGAGGACGTTCGACGCGAACAGCCTCCGCATCGTGTCACGGCCGTAGACCGCCAATTGCCGGCTGTGAAGATCCTCATCGATATCCTCGGAGTTCGCATCACGCGACGCCAGGGAAACCGCGCGTTCTTCTCGTTCCTCCCTACCTCCGATACGGCCATTTCCATCGCTGACGCCATTGTCGCCGTTCGATTCTCCGGCACCGACGCGGCGCCTCTTAACGTTATTATCATCACTAGTACTGCCTTCTTCCCCAATCGCACCGTCGCAAGCTCTCTTCCTCGGATGGATAAAGTGCAGAAAGCCACTGAAAACGCCACAAAACCTCATCGTCATCGCCAAAACGAGAATAACAAGCGTCAACGACGAGGCTGCTCTGGCGTCGCAGCCGGCGAAGCTCTGTAACGCCAATCCGACAACGATCGGCGCCATGGCTAACAGTAATAACCCAAGACCCAATCTGGGCATGATTCCAAGCCAAAGAATCGAAGCAAAGCTAGATGTCAATCACCAAATTGGCCATAACAGAAAACGTATCGGTTGGGAATTGGGATTGTGTCGAGAAGAAGAATCGAATCTCGGAGAGTTTGGATTTGTGACTTTCTTTGTTTTGGTTTGTTGGGACTTTCTTTGAGGAACACAACTGTGAACATAGCTAATTACTGTTAGAGAACTGTGCCGTACAATAAGCTTAGCTCGGTAGTGACGTCAATTAAAAAAAAATACTTTTAACTGCGTTAAAAAAAATAATTATTATAAAAAATAATTGAGTGTTTAATAAATTATAATTATAATAATTGTGTTAATTTTAAAATTAATATAATAACATTTAATAAATTATAAGATTAAATTATTATAGATAGTTAAAATGATTAAAATAAATATTGTATGAAATTTAAATATATATAATTATTTTTTATATTTAAAAATACATGTTTAACTTAAAAAAAATAAAAAAATAATGTTATAATTCTGAGTTTTCTAATAATAAATTTATGATAATTATTTTTTTTTTATTCACAATATAGTTACAATAAAAATGAACATTAGTGAGTAATTAACATATATAATAAAAATATATATTTCATGTTCAAAAACTGGTAGAGACATGAAAAAAATTAAATAGGCTTTTCAATTCCCGTGAATATTCAAGAATTCTGACGACTGGATCATGGAAACATTATTTTTGTTTTATTAAAACGTTTTTAAACTTTTAGCAACATGATCCACTACGAAATTCAATTTATAACCTCTTCTTCTGTTTTTTTTTATTTTTGTTAAATCGATTTATCAGTTACGACATTATAATGTTAAAATCTAATTCATTCTACTTCCATAACTTACAGGCTACAATTCTTTCAACAACAAAAAAAAAACTTACAAGCTACAATCATTCTCGTTCATAAAAAATGTAGGAAGACATATGATACACAGAATTCACAGGAACTTAATACACTAAATGCTATAACAATTCATTCTAATTCACAGAATTCACAGTAACAAGCTATCCCAAAGTATAAAGTTAGTTGAAATAACTTCAAGAGAATCGAAACTGAAACCGAAACAGAACCAAAAATAGACTTTCTTCTGTCACAATTTGCAGTTTTGAAGTCTCCAAGATACGACTCGTAAAGCCTTTTTTTCCCCTTTTCTTCCCCGAGTTCAGAGACTAATTTCTCAAACCCAGAAATAATAATTAATCAACTTGTGAACAAATATAAGAAGGGCCAAATTCTAGCAATTGAAAGTAATCTTCACTATTCTTCAAAACCCATCAAAGCACAACCTCAATACCTTACCAAAAAAAAAAATCCTTCACTGCCCATAATAGAACTAAAAAGGAAAATTGATAATATAAGATATACCCATTTGGAAGCAGCCTTTGGGCTGCAAAACACATCAACAAAACGAACTCATTTCAGAATATTTCTATTCTACGACCTGAGAAACTGAAATGCGAAGAAGAAAACGAATATCAAAACCGCTCAGCTCTTTTGGGGACAAGAAAAAAATAAAAAGAAAGAGAAAAGAAAAGAAAAAAAGAAAATCTTACTTTTGATAATAATGGTGGGGCCGAGAGAACAGAGAAAGAGAAGAGGGAGACCGGCGAACGAAGAATGGAGAGCAGAGACCGGAGAGAGAGAGAAGAGCGAGACAAGAGAGAGAGTGCAAAGAACGGAGGGAAAGAAGAGAGAAATGGAGTGATGACAGACATGAGAGATGAATACGAGTATACGGCCTCGTCCACTTTATTGATTTGAGTTTAGAATTTGAGTTGAGATATAATTTTATGTGAGAATTTTTTACTGTAGTAAAAAAATTAAATGTGATTATTTATGAGAACTTTTTACTGTAGAAAAACTCAAATTCTAAACTCGAATCAGCGAAGTAAACGGGACCGAAGATTATTTGATTTCAACGGGGTAAAATGGGGAATAGAAAATTTTCAGCAGGGTGAAAAAGTGATTTTAAGCTCTCAAAATCAATATTAAACTGGGCCTTTTGTGTTCTTTCCGTAAATTCTAAAAGCTACTGGGGAAATGAGAGAGTTTCCAGAGAGGTTTATGTAAATAAAATTATGGTTTTGTTTGGTTTCGGTTGGCACTGTGCAGAGAGACTATGGCTCGATAGTGCTGTAAATTTTAAAAAAATTTCTTTTAACTGTGTTGAAGGAAAAAACAGCTGAGTATTTGATAAATTGTAATTATAGTAGCTGTACTGGTTTTAAAATCAGTGTAATAACGCTTGGTAAATTTTGATATTGAATTGTTGTGGGTATGTAAAATGACTAAAATATACATGATATGAAACTTAAATATATATAATTATTTTTGGTATTTAGAAATACTTAATTAACTTTAAAAAAACATAATGTTATGATTTTGAGTTTTTTAACAATAACTTTATGATAATTAATTCTTTTTTTTTCATTTCTTCATTCACAATATAGTTAGAACTAAAATGAGCATTAGTGAGTAATCAATTTGTTGAACAAAAAAGTACATTCTGTGTTCAAAAACTGACAGAGTCATTAAAAGAATTAAGTCGTGTTCATTAAACTTGTCACAATTTGATCTCGTACTTCATCCATTTCTTATGATAGTGAAGCTTCATCTTCTTCTACATTGTTCTCCAGTTGATGCTCTTCATAAGCAAAAATATCTAGATTATTCTCGACTTCTTAAAAATGTCGATCATACTTATCATGCATCCTAATATAGTTATGAAGCAACATTGTTGCAATAACTATTTTTACTTGCTTCGTAAATGAATAATTAGGCATGTCTCTCAAATGTGGCATATATCTACGATCTGTCATTATCTCTATTGGCACGTCATTAAACTCTAGATCTGGAGGCTTTATAATATCGATGCTCATACGACATACAATTTCTAAAACATAATTAAAATATCTACTTACAGTCTCACCGGAGTGTTGAAATCGCTCTTGTGCTAAACGATTCCCCGCACCCTGACCCAAAATGAATAAAAACATTCCAAGTATTTCAGTCGCGCACACATATTCCTTGATCCCTGTAACCCGTAGTTACTCTGTAGATCATTACATAGCTTCAAAAACACGTTGTTATCCATTCTAAACATCCTATAACTTCTAATTTCATGCCCTCTTAATAATTCCGTCACCCACATGTTTTCAGTTTGTGAAGAATTCATACACGGATTCTTATGAACATACGTGTTGTAGTAATATACAATGAGTCGAGCAATAGTACATACAAGTTATAGATCGAACTCATCATCATTGTTAGCCATTTTTGGCAACAACAATAAATCTGTCATTCAATATGGTGCAATAAAAACAATCAGACTCACATACAAGTAGTAATACGAAATGTCATTGTACAACAATGTCTTAAACATAAAGTAAGAAAACCACACTGAAAGAAAACAATAATGTCTCCAACATGAATACAACAAGAAGACCATAATGAAAGAGAATAACAATGTCTAAACAATCAATACAACAAGAAAACCGCACTGAAAAGAAATGAGGAATGGAAATCTATTTCAAGACTACTTTTCCCGGATCCTTTTGGACCAATCAATAGAAGAAATGTCATTTTTGGCACATCATAGTGACTCAATTTCATGCCACCAACCTTTTCAATCCAAGCTCCCAGAGTGTAGCTGTGAAATTTTCATAGTCTCATGAGTTCTAGAAGCAAATATTTCAATGAATATTCAGAGCTCAAAGTTACGAATCTTAATAGTCATTGTTATCATGCTAAAATTCAAATTCAAAAATAATACCAAACGTGGGATTAGACCAAGTAAATGGCCAAAAAAAAAGTTGACAAAGTAGTGATTCCTTTTCCCAAAATGATCACAAGAACAAAGGAAATACTTAATAGTAAAAATATGAATTACATAACATAAAAATCTCAAGATTTTGCTCTTTGCCTCTTCCAATCTCTGACTGCGAATCCTCAATTCATCAAAACTTCGTAAGATTTCTTGATAAACACGGCCTCTCCTCCTCTAATTAGTTTCAAACTCCAAAGAAACTAAGGAATTTCGATGACTTACTTTGTCAACCTGTTGATAGAGCAATTCGCCTCTTTCATCCACTGTACAAATCTCCACCTTCATGTTCAAACCATCCCTGAGCCACTGAAAATCATACTTATGTCAAATTTTCACACACAAAAAAAGACTATTTCAAAAATAAAAAAGAAAAAGTACTTGAGAAGGGGAGAAGACAGTTGGGAGAAATCCTAGTCCAACGAAGAGTCTTCTCCTAAAATTCGGTATTATAGGGATGAATTAGTGACAAACTTTTTGAAATTTTGGTAATAAGAAATGAGAAGAAATGATGATTTAGGAGAGACAATACCAGAAGAAGATGTCATATCGCCGCCCATGATTTCTTTGCGGGTTTCTGTGCGTCAAAAAGCTTGACTTTTTGTCCTTTCTTCAGTGAGCTCTCGCAGAACATAACATAACAGAGCAGCGCAGAGAGAGTAAATAACATGGAAAAATGGAGGTGGACTTCGTGAGAAGACAAACGGAGGAGAAACCAAACGAGCACCTACCGGCAACCGGAGAGAGAGACCGGCGAATGGAGCCGGAGAAGATCGCTTCGGACGAAACCAGAGAAGAGAGATAACTGAGAGGAGGAGCGAGAAGACATAACTCTCAAAATGTTTTTTTGATATGAGGAGAGAGATAATAGAGAGGAGGAGATAAACCGAGATCTGAAAATGTATTTCTGAGGTGGTAAATTTGAGATTTCATTGGGAGTAAAATTAGGAATAAAAAATTTCATTAAATTCTCAAAACCGATTCCCGTATAAGCTGAAATCAGAATGAGCCTTTAGGCTGATTCTACTTTTTGTTTCAGATTGAGAGGAAATTATTTAAAAATATGTTTTACTAAATAGCTTTTTAAATTTTAGCTGTCTCAATAAGTGTTTTTTCTCTCTCAAAATCAATACCAAACCCACTCGTACATCATCTTGTCGTTTTGTAGTTTTTTTTTTTTTTAATAATTTGGTCCTAATCAGTATTTTGGAATCCGTTCATAAACTAATGACCTTATTCTCTTTTCTTCATCCAAAAAAAAATATGAGTTTTTTTTTTCTATATTTTGGAACATAGAAGATTTATGATCACGTATAAGTTTATTCAGTTAAAAAAAAGAGTTAGTTGAAAGTTGAAACGCAAATTTCCTTTTCTTTTTTTTTTTGTATTCCATCAAATCCGTGTTCCTTTTCTATTAAACGCGTCCTATCCGGTGAGTCTGAATAAGAACTGGATGCACCAAAACGGTCTAAATTTTAACAATTGAATGATCTCATGTTGAAAAGAAAGTCATCAAGCTTTTAGCTGAAAACTTTTAACAGCTTAAATAAATTTTCCTTTATTGTTAAGAAAATATGATCCAATACGAAAAAAAAAATTACAGTACTAATATAATTGTTTTGAACCATTAAATATTATTATTCTATTAAAATTGTACAATTTTTAATTTTAGTATAATTTTGAACACATCTTACGTTTAGAAATATTTACTAAATAACCGGTAGAAATAACATAAAGGACATATTCATGTAACGAGGATAAATCACTATCCTCATAAAATGATAGGTCCTATTCAATTGGATTCTACTTTTTTATTTAACGAGATTCATCTTATGTGAATAGTGTGATTTTAACCTAATAAATAAAAATGCGTGTGATTTTAACCTAATAAATAAAAATGCTTGTTATATGATCAAGTTTCATCTGTGTAGACAAAAGTTGGAAGCATATGTTGCGATAAAAAAACAAATGTAGGAAAGCAGGATTAAGTTGTGCTTTTACTTCTACACAATATAAGAAGAGAAGCATAATTAGCACATTTTAATTAGTATTTACGTATTTTTAATCTATTTGAGTAAATAAATTAAAAGCATTTATTATTACAAAAAGTAATGTAATAAAGGATATGGATGAAATTTTTATTTTGTTGTTCACAATGAATGCAATCTTTATGGTAGAGAATCTTATTTTGTTTCATTAGTAGGAAATGTTATTTTTAACTATTAGATTTTTTTTTTAACTGTTATATCTTTGCATGTATGTATTAAATATTTACAGCATACAAGATATAATTGCTCATACGACAGATGAGAATGTTACAAAATTGATCTAACGATTAAAACATAGTTTCTACTAGTGGAGTAAAATAGGCATTATACATCATAAATGCTCCCTACAAATAAAAGAATTTTTTATAGGTTATTTTTCATAAACTTTTAGTGCGTTTGGTTGTAGTGAGAGAATGGTAATAGTAATGGAAATGACAATGGTAATGGTAATTGAATGGAAAAAATATTAATTCATTTGTTTGGTTGTAATTTTAGAAATACTATAGAATAGAACATGAATATTTTCATATTGAAAAAATTACCCTTAAAATATATAACATTAATATTTTATATATCAATATAAATAATATAATATATAAAATGTAATATAATATAATAATTCATTTGTTTGGTTGTAATTTTAGAAATACTATAGAATAGAACATGAATATTTTCATATTGAAAAAATTACCCTTAAAATATATAACATTAATATTTTATATATCAATATAAATAATATAATATATAAAATGTAATATAATATAATAAAATTATTAATATATTATATATTATATAATTATGATATAGAATATAATAATATTATTAAAATTGTTAATATAATTATAATATTTTATAATATATTATAAGATTATATAATAAATAATAATATTTTAGTTATAGTAATTA